CCAGGATGCCGTCTACCTAATGGGCTTTTTCTGGGTCAGCACGGAAGTTCCATTTCCAATAGGGAATCATGCCATACCAGAGTGCAGGGCTGAGGAGTCTGGCCAGGTCTCTTGAATGTCTCAGCTCCTATAAAAGCCAAACTCATGAAATATATTTTATGGAATATGGGGCATGTAGAAGGGAATTGGAGAGGGCCCAGTTGGGCACAGAGGGCTGTCAGACCATGCAGAGCCTCAGCTGGACTGTGTTGAAGGTAAATCAGAGCCATGTTGAGGTCTTACAGTTGCATGGACTGGAGATGTTCAAAGCTGACGTTTGCCAAAAGCTCTCCGAAGATGCCAGTTCCAGTTCGCTGAGCCCATCTGGTGTCAGGAAGGCTGTGGGTAACTTCTGATCATGTTTGTTTTTCCTGAGCTTTTCCTAATATCCTCAGACCAGTTCCATCCTGCTCCCTTCCCATTTCTGGCTGCTGGATGGTTCGGTTTCCCTTCAGAGAGGGCTCCAGTTCTGGTTGGAGTTGTGAGCCCCTTTCCTGCCCCACCCTGTAATGAGTCAGATAACATCTGCTCCAAATGTTTGTGTGCAGCTGCTTGCCCTGACAGTTTGGGTGTCTCTCTGTCCCGACGTGTCTTTCTTGGTTTTCTGTTTGGAGAGTCGCACGACAAGTCCTCTGTTTTCCACGCACTCCTGGGACCTGACAAGGATGGAACTGCTTCACAAGAGAGCGTTTCTCCGCATTGTGCCTCTGTGCTGGTCATGGGCTCCTTTCCCAGGAAACATGCAGGGTTTCAGGGCAAATTTAAGGAGAGATGCTCAGGTGCCAAGGAGCAGGAGGCAGGGCAGGAGCTGCTGAGCAGGACCTGAGCTCCCCCTGCTCTGCTCTTCCCATCTTCTCCAAAGACTCCTGATGGTGCTTGCTTTGTGCTATGGCTTCTCTCAGCCCTGTTCCACTCCTTTAATACAGTGTGATCACACTGCTTGAGGAGTCACTGTGGACCAACCTGAAGCACACATCCTATCCCATTTCTCCCAGTCTTCTCAGTGCAAGTAGGTGATGCTTGGGGTGTAGCTCAGGTTGGCACCCATCCCTGGGAAAGCTCTTTGTCTCCCACGAAAGCAGTTGCCAGCCAAGGACATAAAAAACAGTTGGCAGGATTGGGTTTTGAGGGGGAAGGTCTTTGAGATTTCATTCTCAGATTCCCATAAAATCCTGTTCAGTCAGCTCTCCCCTATCCTCACATATGATCCAACAGAATGGTGGGGAAGTATCGTTGGCCAAAAGATGCCAAAGCACAAAATTACAGTTTACTGACAGCTGCAGTAGTGCAATAAAGAGGGATGAACTGGGTTTACAGGAGTGGGATGCACCAGGAAAGAGCATGCCATGCCCCAAGCTTGCTGTTTCCAGCACCTGCTCTGTTCATTTGCTCTCTCTCATTCTGGTCCACGGGTATTTTGAGGCTGGAGAACACTGACAGGTCTTTGGCTATGGGAAGGTCTATCTTTCTGTGATCGGCATACAAGAAACACAGAGAAGAGAGCTTCCCCTGAAACTCCATTCTTGTTCTTCAGTGGAAATGAAGTGAGGTAGGTCTCCTAGGAGCCCATGGAGCCCACTCCTCTAGGATACGTACAGCAGCTGGAGGTGGCTGGTTCAGATCTGAGGCAAAGCTGTGACCTCCTATGGGCTCACATGCTTCAGGGTATTTCTTGGTGAGCACCAGGACCTCTTGCAAACACACAAAGGGCTTCAAAAGGAGTGGAATCAAATCCTCCCCGATGAGTTGCTGGTGCGGCTGGGCCCCTCCTTCCCTGCTGAAGTCCCTGTCCACTTTCTCTTCCTCATCTTCCCACCTCCTGGCAGTTCCCTCAGGCCTTCGTGATGCTCAGTGGACAGGCAGCTGCCTGCCTCCCCAGTGTCCTCAGCACAAAACTCTCCCAAGAAGACAGGTCCCCTTGGCTTCAAAGGAGAGCATCATACCAAGAACCGAAGCCTCTAATTCTCCATTTAACTGGTACAAAGGCATTCTGTACAGTGTATAAAGAGATCCCTCCCTGGCTGCCTTTATTTGGGTTCCTTTCTATAAGGTATAATACATGTTTATAACCTGATGGCTGGTTTTTTTTTGACAATACTCTTGTAAATTTAAAAGGAAAAAAAAAAAAAAAAAAAAAAAAAAAAACCAAACAAAAAAGAAAACAAAAAAAAACCCTCTAAAAAAACAACAAAGTATTTATTTCAAAAGTTTATTTTAAAGATAAGAAAAAAATAACCTATTTATTTTAATGCACCTCCTTCTGTTTGGTTTTCTTCTTTTGCAAAGCTAATAACTGATAACTGAACCACTGCTGAGATGAAAGAAGTAATTCTATGGGTGGCTTCACAAGCCCACTTAGAGCAACTATTCAATAAAAATATATATTAATTTTGAAAGTGTCTGCTTGTCTTCATGACAGCCAGGGCATGACTCAGGCTCCTGCTTTGGCAAGGCTCTGAACAGGTGCTGGCTCTGCATATGCACTGCTGGCATGGGATGGGTGTTGGTGGGGATCCTTTTTGGCTCTGTGACACCTCCCCTCTTCTGGTGCTTAATGAAAACCTCAAAAATCTCAGTGTTTGACTCCCTGCTGTGGCTGTTCCAGGTCCTTGAAGCATGGTGGGTTCCTGGGCAGCAAAAGAAAGGCCCGAGATAAGACATCCCTGAGATCTGTTGGGGTTTGGTCCCCAAAACACATTTCTGAAGCCTTTTCTGGAGTGCATTCTCTAATGCCTCTCAGCACAGAGCCTTTTCTTGCGCTGTTTCATTGGCCTTGGAGCCTGTCTCTGGTACCAGAACATGCTTTCCAACACATGTGCCAAGGCCTCACCACAGCATTCAGGATCTGCTTCAGGGTTTTGGAGGACAGATGTGAGTCCAGTCCCTGCTGTGACTCATTCTTCCCCTGCTTCTAAAACAAAAGATGACTTTGGGCCATTTGCCATTGCCAGAGTCCCTTTTAGGCACAGCCAACCAGTTTGGTTCCTAGACGCACAGCTTGTTTTAACTATGTTAGAGCCTTTTTAGTTTGTGTAATACCACCTTTCCATGCCCACTCTGTCCCTCTCAGTCCATGCCACCAACCTTGTGGGTATCTACAGATCTTTATGAACGAAGGCAAGGCAAGGAAAGGCAAGGCAAGGCAAAGAAATGCAGATTCACAGAGAGCCACAGGTAAGTGGCCCATGGGCAACCTGAAAGAGATGGTCACCACTCACTTGGACACTTTCGTTCTCTTGTACAGAGAAATTCATAATAGCCCCAGGGATCACAAACTGTCCTGGTGGTTGGGCTTTCTTCTTAGAACAGGCTGACTCTTTGAACTGAATGATCTTTGCCTCGTGAAGACCAAGCGCTCCACAGGCTCAAGTTTATCCCAGACCAGCTGGTGTTGGCACTGAGTCACAGTCATATAGCTGTGCCACCAGGATGACTGAGCCACTTTTGCTGGTTTAGCTGAGAATAATAAAACACCTTTTCTTGGCTACCACCACTCACTGACATTCAGACCCTGTGCCACATTGTCACAGCAGAGGAAGCCCAGTTTCACGAAACCCTCCCTTGGAGGTACAGCAAAAGTAGGTTTCCACCTTTTTGGTGTTGAAATCCTCCCTTCAGAGGGAACAAAGCCAGGCTGAGCTCAAATCTCTCCTCCATACTCAGGTGTGAGCCAACGCTTTGCTGGAGCCCGCCATTAGGCAGCAGTCCTTCCCAGCCCGAAGAGCAAGGGTAGGCGTCTGCAGCTGAGAGCTCGGCTGTCTAGACAGCAGTAAGAAATGGGCCCTCTTAAGGACTCATTCATCTCTTCCTAAGATGGCTAAATAGGTCAGATGACTCATGCCCTGAAAGCGCCTATTTCTCTTTGCTGACTACAAAGGCGAAGGAGCTTGCAGCAACTCTGTGCTGAAGACGGCTGAAGGTAAAGGATCTGAAGGCAAACCTGCAGATCCAAAACGCTGTCTGTGACCTCATCGATGACGTGGATGGAGCGATGAAGGAATATTTAAATGCCAGCCGTTCATTAACCTGCGCTGAAGGTGATGAGTATGTAGGAATCCAAGCATGCAGAGCTGCATAGGAGGAGGTGGAAGGTCAGATCTCATTTCTGCTAGAGGCTGCAAGGACCACGGAGTGGGAATTTAGGCTGGAGGAATTTGCTAAATGGCTTTTCCACGACCACCAGTGCCTCCTAGGTCTTCCACAGTTATCCTTTAGGTAGGGCTGAGGGCAGCTCATTGCCCTGAAAATCCTTGACCACTGCTTTGAAGAATCCAGTGCTGGTTGGTCTAAGCAGATGCAAGATCAGTCTGGTGGTGTCCCCAGCTCTGCTTTGCATACTGCTAGTCAGTGATGTTTGGGATATGGGGCCAGGAGGAATCACAGTTTTGGGATTTACCAGGGGCAGTAAGGAGGGCAGCTGGGAACATTGGAAACTGCCCACACAAGAAATGACACCTGCAAAAGCTTCTCCCACAGTGCAGCTGTGATGCAGAGGGGCTCACTCCCTACAAAAGGATCTCCATGACCCCAGTGGTGGCTGCGTGCTTGTGAAAAATGACCATTTTTCTTACAAGCACCCCAAAACGCCTGCAGTTTATAGCACTGTTCTGATATTACAGACTCGTGCTTTGGCCCTGCAAAGCATCACGAGGTTGGCTTAAAAAAATCAAGATGCAGCTCACAGCAGATTCTTGTTTTTTCACTGCTGCTTTTGGAGGCTGACTGAGTCATGCTCACAAGCCTCTTTTGCCAGACACCAGGGCTAGCAGCTTCACTGAAGTAATTAAATGAGAACGGAGATTCTCAAATGAGCCCCAGGGTTGGCGTTTAGCTTGTGGCCCAGATGTGGCAGCATGGGGAGCAGAACGGGACTGGACACACCAGGCACAAGTCAGAGAGCCCAGGAGACTGCAGTATGTGGGAAGGACCCAAAATTGGGGTTCACTGCAAAGCCCACAGTGAATAACTACAATTCTGGCTCATCAGCCAGCTCTCCAAGTTCTCCATTGGTGTCTGAAAAGATGGTACTTTGGCATGGCTGGGGCTCCTGTCCTCCTTTTTCTCCATGTTTCTGGCACTCAGGAGGTTGAGGATATTTCTTCCAGACATGTTCAGAGCAACATTATTTTTCCAAAATGGAACTCAAGCTCTGAATTCTCCTGGGCAGCGCCTTAAAGGATTTATTTCCTCTACCCACTTCCCCTGTGCCTTGCTGTTATTCCTGAGGACATTTGCATGAAACAGTAGGATCCCTGTCTTTTGATGTGCAATTATCATCTGCAGAAATGACTAATCAATTAAGGACAGTCACTACCAGGCTTTCTATTTATTTCTTTCTCATTGGAACCAGAGTAAATGTGCCCTTTTTCACAGAGAAATTGCTGTTTTTTTCCAGCCATCACTGCTGAAAACTCCCCAACGGATCTGAAAATTACATCATGTCTTCTTTAGTCCCTGTTGTTGTCACCACCAGAGCTCAGCTGGTCACATGGCTGACAGTGAGCAGTCAGATAAGCTGCTCATATCACCCTAGGGACATGCCAGGTATGACTCAGTTCACACTTGGACAGGTGAAAGCACAAAAGCCTTGCGCAGTGAGCAAGCACAGATCTACTTCATGGTGCTCCACCATGAGAGGTTCAGCCAGAGATCCTAGAGGCAAACAGCAGGTCAGGACATCCCTTGGGAAGTAGGGAATTTGGTTTTGAAGGACTTTATGCTGTGCTGAAAAGTAGGAGAAATCTGCAGCTACAGGTGGAGGGCTAGTTTCTCTCTTCCATATGCATCTGATGGCATTGATGTCTTCTTCTGTCTCTTTATGCTACCATCTGTTCCAGCATCTGTCCCTGCCTCTGTTACATGAGGCTGGGCATAAATAGATGGACATGGAACAAGAACAGAATGGATAAAAAGAGAATTCATGCAGGAAGCATTATGTGTCCTGGGACTACCAGCACAAATCACCTCTCTCTAGAGCCATGATGGCTTTGGGGTATTGGTGGATGCTCCCCCAGATAAAGGGGGAAACGAGTGCATCAACCAAATGTGCACTCTTACAGGCAACTGTATATGAATTGTGTACACACAGTGCAGGGAATGGAATGACCAAAAGTGCAGGGGATGAAAGTCCAGGAGGTCCTGGGATCTCACCTCCATCCTGACAGTACTGAGAAGCATTGTTAAGTTTGGAAAAGACCTGTAAAATCCAAGTGTCCATCTGCCACCTATACTGCCCACAAAACCATGTCCTCAGTGCCACATCAACCCTTCTCTTGAACACTTCCAGGGGTGGTTGAATCCACCACCTTACTGGGCAACCTATGCTAATGCCTCACCACTATTTTTGAGAAGAAAAGTTTTCCCTAATTTCCAACCTGAACCTCCCCTGGTGCAACTTAAGGCCAGTACTTATCATCCTGTCACTGTTACTGGGAGGAAGGGTCCAACCCCCACTCACCACAGCCTCGTATCAGGGAGTTGGATTTGGGAACAAGGTTTGCTGGAAGGCTTTGCAGCTTGTGAACGCTAGTCCCTATTGCTGCAGTGTGCACAGGGATGGCTCCTACCCTAAAGATTACACTTGTCACGTGCTTTACTCCAGGAACTCTGTGAGACCCTGAAAAGGGGCTTAAAGCAGGGGGTAGCCCAGAAGATGAGAACAAGATGAAGCTGAAAGAGAAGCAGAGCTGTTTTGTAACAGTGTTCCCCAGGGAGAGATCACACCACACCAGAGACGTGGCTCTGGAGAGGTGCAGCACGCACAGAGGTGACCAAATGAATTGACACCAGGCAATTCTCACCGGAGCTAATGAGACAAAGTAATTGAAAATAAATGAAGGAACATGACACCTGGCTGGCAGATCAGTTATCTATAGCATGCCTTTCCTGAAATAACCGCTTCCTGAACACCATACACTGAGGCAAAACCAAGGAGATGCACACATAAAATAGGCCACTCCAGCAGGGACCTGAAGGCCCCTTTATTTTTAATCGAAGCTGTCAGAAGGGTTAATTGGATGGTGTGCAGCAGTGCCCTCTGTCTGGGGTATTGGCTCCCCTTGCCACCCATGGGTATGGTGCACTCAATCTAAAGGATGAAGTGCCCCATTGCTATTGTCCTTGGGTGAACTTTTGGATTGCAGTGCAATGCAAAAATGGGGAATTCTCTGCTCTCCAGCCTCAGGGAATATCCCTGAATATGTCCTGGGGAGAGCTCGGATGTTTTCATCCTTTGGATAATTAGGGTGAGAGAGGGAGTTCTCAACTCAGCTCGCAAATGCCCCCTGAAGTCTAATTAGAGGCTTATAGAAACTCCTGACCTTAAACTGGTGGTCTGAGAGGGTCAACTGGAGAACTGTTGCATGGCACACAGCATTTGTCCCACAGAACTTGGTGTGTCCATCCCTTTGCAGAGGTGGAAGCAAAGGAGAGGAGGATGAGGGAAGTGCAGTATGGGGCAGTTGTTCTGACCCCAGGAATTAAACTAGCAGCCAATCGCATTCCAACCAAACCACCCTGTGTTTCCCATCACTATGGGAATTGTATCCACAGAGGCAGATACAGGATGCCCTGTGCCAAAGGAGCATTTATGTCTCCCCACCCTGTATCACTTGGTAGACGGCTGCTCCTGGGTTTGGGTTTTCCTCTCTGAGGAAATGAAGCTGGGTTAAATCTTCCTTAGGAAGCTGTCCCATGAAAGCTCTGCTGTCTCATGGAGACACTGCAAGCTTTTTCCCTTTTTATTTCCATCCTCGTTCTAAAAAGGAAAGGAGCAAGGGCAGAAAGTAAGCACATGTACTTTTTTGTGCGGAGCCAAAAAGATATGACCAAGAAACAGATCTATGCCTTAAAAAAGAGGTGGCTTCAAGAAGGAATGGTCCACACTCATTGGAATGGGCTGAGGACACCCCTAGCACTGCCCCATGACTGAAGTGTAGGGTCTGGGAATAGGGCACCCCCAGCATGTTCCTACAGACTCCTCCTTTGGACAGAGGCCATGCAAGAGGAGAGAAATCAGGTGCCTCTTCTACAATATCTCCAGGGCTCTTCTGTGCAGACAAAGCAATTTTTAACCAGATCCCCCTGTTTAAAGGGTGACCAAGACATTGCACCCCAAAGCATCCTGAAAAGGATTGACACAAACAGTCCATTTCCTCCACCAAGACATGCTGCTGATCTTCCTATCCCAAATCCTCAGGCATCTTGATTTTCATCGGTTCCCTTGCTTACTTCCCTTAAATGAAGTTGAGGAGTCAGTAGGCAGCCAGGAGCTCTGGTGTCTAAGTTTCATGACAAGAAAGCAAAAAAAGAAAGCAAGGAAGGCTCTCCCTCCCCCTCCAACAAACGCAGCTGAAATCTCCTAATGAGAACACGGCCAACACTCTGCTCTGCCCTCTGCCCTTTACGGGGCAGGTTGCAAGGTCACAGAGACGCGGTCCCCCGGTATTGATCAGGGCTCTTTGGGGCTGGCATATGGTACCAGGTTTCAAAGGCCAAGCAGCTAAAAAAGAATTAAGTGGGGGCAAAGAGTGGAACGTACCAGATTGAACTCCTGACATGCAGGGGTCAGAGATCACTGGAGATAAAGCGGGTGCTGGAATGGCCTGCGCAATGTCAAAAATAAATAACTAAGCATTAAAAATCAAATGCTCCCCCTTCCCAGGGCACAGACCAAAATCCCACCGTATTTCAGAGGGGAAAAAAAACAGGCTGTACGAGTCTGAGGTGGAGAGCAAATAAGGGGGAAAATGCCTTTTCCTTGATCAAGGGATGAGCATGTTCATGCCTTACCTGGAAGGTGTGCCTCTGGGATTATACAGCCTGTTATTTTGGGGGGAAGGTTGCCTTTATTTTGAATGTCCTTCAGCACTGAAAGACAAACTTAAAAAAAAAAATTATGGAGAGAGCAGAAGAAAATAAGCAAATAAGCATCCAGCACCTCTGCTTGCACAAGAGGCATCTCTTCTGGTTGGTGACCCTACCCACTGTGGGGACAGTGCAGCTCAATAATCTTTAAGGTTACTTCCAGCCTAAGCCATCCTATGATTCCACGATTCTTTACCAGCAAGATGAGAGCATGAGAAAAGAGCAGCAGCTTCAGTCTGTGCTCCAGAACAGGAGATGGGATGGGTGCAAGAAGCCAAAGAGGACTGGAATTTCAAACTTGTCTCAGAGCTTTCTTCCTCTCCTATGAGGCACCATGGCCAAATGGAGAAGGCAGTGGGCAGAGCATATGGGAAAGGACAGATAAGGAGGTGCTGAGGATAGAACCAGGCAAAAATAGGTTCTGCCCCTATTCATCAGTGATTCTTCTTGTATTAGGGGACAGCAGGCATGAATGGTGGTGGAAAAGCAGCCTATGTGATGGGTAAATAAATTTAAAAACAAACAAACAAACAAAACTAACAGAGCTCATGGGGTTTTTGCCTGGGTTACACCCTAAGGAAGGTTTTTGTACTGTTTTATAAGGAAAGGCAATTGCAGATAACCAGTTCTAAATATCCCCCCAAAAAGACACTGGTCACAAGCCAGTTAAAGAAAGAAGGATTTGCTTACCCAGCCCAAGGATCAACACTCACCAAATACTCCAGAAGGGAGGAGCTCCAAATGGAGATCCACCCTTTGTGGTAGCCAGGCCTTAAATGAGGTTAGGTTAGGGTAGGTTAGCCTCTTCCAGTCACACAGGTGAATTGCTTTTGCCTGTGCTCCCGGGGCTGGCTGTCCCTCCACCAGGTGCTCAATCATTGCTTCAGGCCACGACTTAGCAATTTGCATACACATGCCAAGGGTCTTGTGGATGCTTTAAGTTCAAACTACAGCATGTTGAGGATCTTAACCTGTTCTTCAAGCTCCTTCTTCATGTCCCAGTGCAATGCTGGCCATACAGAAGTTGATCAAAGGATGGAGGAAAGGAACAAGCCTCTCAGCTAATGGACTTACCTAGAATATCTTGTTTCAGTGCTGTGATGCAGCATAGGAAAGCACATGGTAGTTCTGTATCTTTGTTCCTCCTTCCTGTCTAGGCCATATAAGACATTAATGAATCATGTGGTGCCTTTATCTCCACCACTCCATCCTTGACCAAAGCCCCTCGGATTTCTAGTGCTCCATGATGTCAGTCTGTGGCTGAACAAGCCAGTGAGCTCATTTTCCCTTCTGATTTTTGTTGCCTCCTCCTTTTCTTTTGCTCTCCTTTCATACCCTGCCAAGGGGCTCTATCTCCTTCTGCAGCTCTGCCTGCAGGGACACACTCTGCTCAGTTCATTAATGCATTCTTCTGGTTGGTTCCTGATAAAGCAAACTGCTTGGTGCTGTATGCAGCAGGGCTGGATGTGTTTCCAGACGCAGGTGATGCATCCAGAGTCTGGTCATTGTGCAGTTCCACCAACACTGACACCAGAGGAGGAACAATCCTCCACGTTTCCTCTGGCATTATCAATTGTGTACCGAGCAATAAGGATCTTCCATAACACCATCCAAAAAATTTTTACTTTCCTGATGTCAGGGTTAAAATCCATCAAAATTCAAGTAGGCTGAAAGGTAGCTCGACAGCCAAGGAGACCACTAAGGAGGAGTGGGAAAGTGCCTGATGTGAAGCCCAGGAACACATCTAGGAGGTTATGCTACATTGACTATCTCTGTTGACCTCCCAGGTGTGGCAGGCTGGACAGGCAGAATGGGATTTTGTGCCCTCACATATTTCCTTTCTATCTGTGTGGGTGGAATACTCTAAATGGCATATTATCCCTTCCGCTCTTCGCTTCCCTCTGGATTCATACTTCTCATGAATGTTAGAAAATGTGCTCTAGAGCTGCCATATGATGAGCAATCAGTGCTTAAAAATGCTGCTTTCCTCCCCCCCTCCCATCTTTCTTGGTGAGTTCAGTACCAGATGGCAGACTCTCAGCCCGGAGAATGAATTGACAGCATAACATGACTAGCAGCAGCAAAATCTTCCTCCCCTCTCTTCCACCGCTGAGACTCCAGTAGTGCAGAGTGAATAATTTAGCAGCCATCTCTCATTCAGCAAACACTGCCGGTGAGCTGTGTGAAGATGATTTTTATTAACTGGACGGCTGGATGCAATTTTCCAGCAAACCCTGTGTGCAAACAAATTGTAGCTGACTGCTGGGTAAGTGCCAGAGCTTATGACTGTCTCCTGGTACAGAGAGATTAGATGCCCACATCCTGTTACACCATCTCCTCTGCTTGTGAATTATTTCCCAAGCCCACGAGTAACTTTGCTGGTGAACAATCATGGTTTCAGATCGGAGGGAGTGTTTTCAGCAAGACGCATGTTCATGATGTTGTTTTGTTCCCTGGGAACATGAACAAAATCACGCCGCCAGCCTGCTCTGTAAAAGTCATTGCGGATGCTGCTGATGGGGCTCATGGGATCTGATCAAGAAAAACATTTCTGAGCCCTTTTGTTTTTGATCCATTTGTTCATTTCCGCCTCATTCCAGCAACAGGGTGACTGTGTCACTAGGCGAGAGTGGCATTGGGTCTCATCAGCCCCTCTGTTGTCATCTACCATGAGAAGTTGTGGTCGTATATGGGCCATGCAGGAGCTGCCACAGAAGTAAAACTAGGCAGGTGTCACCAGCCAGCAAGATGCTGAACTGGTTGCAAGAAGATTTGGGGATTTTTACTTTGCTTCTTGCATGCTGCTTGTTGCTTGCAACCCACTAGAAGTCCATACAGATGACTGCAGGTAGGGATGAGAGATCCTCCTGACCACTGTCCCCACTACAGACAAATGTGGCAGTGGGTTTGAGCTCCTCCTGAGCCTTGCAATTGTACAGTGCCAGTCTAAATGCTTGCTGGGAGGTATGAGGGATGTGAGTCCTGCAGTGGGCAGGTAAGAAAAACTCTGAATTTGTTGGACAGGTGCCTGGAACATTAGGCTGTTATTGGAAACACGAGGCTTTTATGGTAAGTAATAGTAATGCTATTGGGCGTTTTCCTTAAATAGTCTGCCATGCTCCATATGCTGACAGCTAATGCAGAGGGGAAAGGTGTGTGCAAGCTGTTTTATAAGGATGCAGGAGCCCTGGTGTCTCAAGCTTTGAAATGCCCACTGTTACCCTGCTCTGTCCTCCCAGTGATGTGGGACACGTGTCTATTATAGAGAAAAAAAGCAACACACATTCAATGCCAGAGGGGCTCCCAGTTCAATTCTCCTAATCCCAAAAGACCCAAGTGCTCAGTCCTTCCATGGACACCATGGTCACCATGGAAAGATAGAATTCTAGTCTGAGGTCCCCTTCTGTTCCTCCCAGTGTAAGAAATTACCCTTTTGGATCTTGCAGCATGGAATCCCATGGTAACAGGTCCCCAGCCAAGGAAAGCCATTTCTCATTTAAGAAGCATCCAGGACAGAACAAGCAGAGCTTTGAGATATACAGAAATGTTGTTCAAATACAATATTCATCCTCTCCTGAATACCAAAGGAAAAACAAGAGTATTCCCAGAGCTAAACCAGCAAGAAGAGCTACAGCAACTAGGCCACCTTTGCTAGAAATAGCCCATGGGGCAGGATTAGCATCCTTCCTCCTGAGGAGAATCCCAAATGTAGAGAGATCTCCCTGGTAAACTCTGTTGTTTTTGTGGATTTTTTTTCTAATATCCAGCATGTTGTTCTGTTCGTCACCGCACTCCCTTTGAGATGCTGCCTCACATACAGGGCTATAAGCAGCATCTCATCACTTTAGCTGCTCTGAAGTTACTCCCAAGCAGTGAGCCATTTCCATGGCTGTTGTCCACGGAAGCTGGGCTGCCAGTGTCTGACACAGCCATCGATAGCCCTGTGCTCATAGGAAGCAGGAAAACTCCTTTGAACTCCCTGAAAATCAGATGGAACTAGAGAGCCACAAAGACCATAAATATTGGGCTAAAAATATGTTTTTCCCCGTTGCCATCTCCCACCTTCCTCCCCATCCTCCTCCTCCTCCCGTCGCCCTGGAAACCAGAGGCCATGACGCCTCGCCCCGGGTGACAGCCCTGTGACAAAGGCAGCTTTCACGGTGCAGGCGGGATGGGGCCGTCCCCGTAGCCCCTTCCTCCCCACACAATGCTGGGGGTGGCCCGCTACGCTGGGGGACACTTGGTGGCAGCCAGCCTCCGCGGGTTCTGCCATCCTCCTCCTCTTTCACAGGTCAAGGGACAGGGTTCAGCGGCTCCTCCAGGCCATGGGGCGGAGGTAGGTGAAGAAGAGGGCAAGGGCTCATTCTTGTCTCTGTTGCAGGGTGGAGAGCAGGTCAGCCGTCCTCAAAACCCCTCGCACACCCTGGTGGGTCCCCAAGTGTCACTCAGCCTGAAGGAAGTTGTCCATCAAAGCTGGGGAGGCTGTGGGAATACCTGCGGGGCAGGAGGTAGGGACTGCATCAGCAAAGCAAACTTCTGACCCCACTGCTTTTCTCCCAGCCGGGACCACCAGCCACAAGGAACGTGCTGATGCAAGCCTGGAGACCATTTCATAGAATCAGAGAATTATAGAATCACTGAGGCTGGAAAAGACCTCTATGATCACCACGTCCAACCGCCAACCCATCCCCACCATGCCCACTAACCATGTCCCTCAGCGCCATGTCTCCATGTTTTGTGAACACCTCCAAGGATGGTGACCCCACCACCTGCCTGTGCCACTGTTTGACCATTCTTCCTGAGAAGCTGGTTTTCCCATGCCCAACTTGCAGCAGGATAAACATTGGAGGCTGGAAAGCTTTTTTAGGGAAAAACCTGATCTGCAGCCAAAGTTTGGTCTAGCAGGTGAGTGGTATTTCAGCAAGTATGGTCGGAGATGTGCTTCTGAGTGCTGGGGACCATCACTCTGCTAAGTCATGGAGATAGCTCAGAAAGTCTTGGAAGAAACCCCAGCATCCTCTTGCAGAGCATCTCCTTGCCTAAAACAAAAGTAAATCTGCCACGAAGTCCCAAGCTACATTAAATCTCCCTGCAGAAACTTCAGATATGCTGCAAGGACAAGCACCTCATTTTGTAGGCAGACAGACCACTGAGGCAAGCAGCATTTCCCAAAAATATGGGGCACATAAGAAGAAATGCACACCAAATGGATCAGAAATTTATATGGTGCAGGAAAAAAATATCAACCAGTCTGTCCCTAATTACATCTATTTTACGTGCAGGCAGAAGAGGGACATGGACACCCCTGTGCTGCCTACATTTTTGCAAGGAAAGAGGTTGAGGATTTGCCATGGGAGTGTTTGCTGTTGCTCAGGGTTGGCAGCATCATCCAGGCTGGGGTCTCATGGGGTGCTTTGAGGGCTCCTCTCCTTCCACCTCTCCCTCCTCTGTCCTCTCCTCTGCCTTCTCCTGGGAGTGGTTTCTGGGAAGCTGGTGATAGAGGAAGGAGCCGCCGTGGCTGCAGGCAGGGAGTGCTGCTCGCATCCACCCTGCAGCTTCTTCCTGCCTCACTGAGCTCCACTTTCCTGTGGCCGAGTCCAAGCCCTTCTTGTCCCCTGCTTTGCAGTGCCTAAAAATAACTCCCCTATGCAGGTCTGGATAGAGTTCAGCCCTGTGAAAATGAGGGGAGGCAGGCAGAGCCCCATGACAGGATGGTGCCCAAGGATGCTGGCCCCATTGACATGCAGGTCATGGTATTGC